AAATTAGGGGCCAGGGCCCCCCCCCCCCCCTCTACCTCCCCCAGAGGATGAGGGTACAGTCCAAAGTAAGCACAAGCTTACCTAAGGTTAATGCCTATTGGTACGGCATTAAAAAAATATACTAAAGTCCCCCATTGGGCGGTGGAGGACTTAGAGTTAAGACACCCCAAAACTTTCCGGCGTGAGATCCAAAATGGTTCGGACGATGGAGGGGGGGGGGGTGCTCGTTGCTTGAAGTGGACCAATATAACACAGAGCCATCCAAGCAAAGCTCATTACTCACCTGAACGACCTGACCAACCACGCAAAAACTGCGGAGCTAGATGTGCGGCACGCACAATGAATTGTTTTCGATTGGAGAGAGGCGAGTACAAAGCAGTAAGGAATTGTTGGCCAAACTTTCGGCAGATAGGTCTACTCGGGAGCGTAAGTGGGGTAGCAACCCATGGTGGAACGTACATGAGAAGCTGGACGTTGTTGTACGATCCATCCCGGCGTGTGAGTAGGATCTTAGGCTATGCAAGTCGTCCCTGAACTTATTGTGGTGAAAATGACCTCCCAGGAGGAAAGTAGCCTGTACCGCGGAACTTCGGAGATGACAAATTGGGTGGTCGGGGGACGTCTGGGTGTTTACTAAGCAGAACGCCCGGCACAAGACTGGGGTACTTGTGCCAGGAGGTGTGAACTTGGATCTAGACTACGAGCCCATGTTGGAGGCGCTATTTAGCGTCGGTGAGCCGGCAAAAGAACTGAAAGGAACCACAACCCCCACCGGACACTCGGATTGGGAAGGCCGAGTATTCCGTATACCTTCCTGAAAAAACACGAAAAACAAGTGGCCGAGGTCCAGTTGCTGTAGAGATCATGAGGATGGTGAAGAAGCCGGGAGGATGGAAGCAGAAACTGTGGCAGGGAGACAGGTTGGAGCTGCTGCTGTTTGGAATTCCAAGGGACATGACGAGGATAGAGTTCAAGAACTGGTGTGACACGGAGGGACTGCATTGCCTAGCAAGGGGAGAAGTAGGCAGAGAGCATGAACACTTCCGGGTGAAATTGACCAAGGGAGACAGCCAAGAGTGCTTGGGGGTTGACATCGAGAAGCTGTCGAACTACGTAAGGAAGGTTGGATGGAGGGTTTGCGTCCCGAACATGATAGGAACAGAGAAGGTAAGGCGACAGGAGGCGAGGGCGATAGAGGCGAAGAAGAGACCGGGCGGGGGAGACGAGCAGGCAAATCAGAAGAACGCCGAGAAGAAGCGGAAGGCGAAGGATAGAGTGCGCAAAATCTCCAATAGGGAAAAGCACAAGCTGAGAGTGGGGTCGTGGAACGTGTGCGGGTTCGCAAGGAGTGAGCGCAAGCGGTTGGAAATAGTGGACCAAGTAGAACAAAGCGATCTGGATGTAGTGGGGATCCAAGAGACGTGGGAACTGAAGGATGGGGACGTGGTAAGCAAAATAGGGAAGTACCGGTGGGTAGGGAAGGCAAGAAAGGGCTTAGACCCGAAGAAAAGGGGGGAGGGGGGAGTCGGATTCCTGGTCAAGGAACACTTGTATGACGTGGTGGAAGTAGTGGTGAAAACGGAGTTCGAGGAAAGCCTATGGCTTAAGATACCTGGGGAGCGGGGTGAGAAAGATTTGTTTCTAGGGGAACGTATACGTCCCACCGTCGTCGAAGAAAGTCGCAAGCAAGGCGCATGAGAACTTCGGACAAATTGGGGAAGATGTCCAGAGGTTCAGTAGGAAGGGAGAAGTTGTCATGGTGGGCGATTTCAACTCCAGAGTAGGGAAAGCTTGCAGTAGAGGACAGGCGATCGGGCAGCACGGAGAAGACAAAGTGAATGACAACGGAGTGAGGATGCTTGAATTCTTGGGAAGCAACGAGCTGATGGTGTTGAACGGTAGGAGGGAAAGCGATAAGCCAGAGTTCACCAGGCAGAGGGCAGTTTGCAATGAATACTCGATCCTCGACTACATCCTGGTAGATAGGGGGAGCACACAGGTCCCGGAGCTGCACGTAAGTGCGATAGATATAGGTTCGACCGACCATTTCCTCATATGGGCAAACATCGACCGATCTAGAAAGACGGAGAGTAAGAAAAAGAGGAAAGTGTTCCGGTGGAAAGTAGAGCGTTTGGGAGACGAGGGGACACGCGATGAATTCCAGAAGGGATTGGCTGGTAGTGTAGAACCCTTCAGGAAACTGCTGAGAAGCGTCGAAGACGGAAAGGTAGACGTACAAGCAGCAGGGGACAGGGTGATTGACGGATGGGAGTCCATAGTGAACACAACGGCAGAGAGAGTAGTGGGAAAGAAGGTGGTACGATGTGGGGTATCGGTTAAGTGGTGGGATGACGAGCTGAAAGAAGAAATAGGGGAACGTAGAGAAGTCTTCAAGCAGTACCTGGGTGAGGGGTCTGAAGAGAGTTGGGAAAAGTACAGGGCCAAGAGGAAACAGGTGAAGGGACTAGTGAAAAAGAAGAAAAAGAGCATTTGGGACGAAGTAGTGCAGAAGGCCAACGGAGGCCTGGAGGGGAACGTCAAGCAGATGTGGGAAGGGATTAGTGGGATGGTAAAAAAGACCGCGCAAGGGGGGGATACAGGGGTAGCAACATTGCGAGGTGTGAACGGTGGACTAGTCAGCAGTGGGAAGGGAAAAAGGGAAGTTCTAGCAGGACACTACAAGAGACTTGGAGTGCCTTCGGAGAATGAAGATTTTGACCAAGTGTTTAAGAAGGAGGTGGACGCATGGGCCCAGAAAGAAGAAGAGACATCGAAGGCAGACGTTGGGAACGTAGAACTAGAAAAGGATCACTGAGGACGAGGTTGAGGCGTGTGTGAACAAGCTGCAGTGCCACAAAGCAGCAGGGGCGGATGGGATAGTAAACGAGTTCATGAAGTTTGGGGGCAAGGGGATGATCCAGCTGATGGTACTGCTATACAACTGGGTGTGGAAAAACGAGTATGCGCCAAGTAGATGGAGGGAAGGAGTGGTTGTGAACTTGTTTAAGAAAGGAGACAAGACTGACCCAGGAAACTACAGGGGTATCACACTGTTGAACACAGTAGGAAAAGTGTTCTGTAAGCTGCTGAACGATAGGATAGTGGGAGTATTGGAGAAGAAACGTAGCATTAGTGAGGGCCAGGCAGGTTTCCGACAGAAGAGGGGGTGCGTAGACCACGCATTCACGGTAGGGAGAATCATCCAAGGTAGAAAGAGGGCGGGCAAGCGGACGTACTGCTTCTTCCTGGACGTGAAAAAGGCATACGATACCGTATGGAGAAATGGGCTGTGGAAACAATTGTCCAAGTACGGGATCAAGGGGAAAATGTGGAGGGTGCTGAAGAAGATGACAAGAGTGTACGAAAAGCGCGGTCATGCTAGACGGAGAACTGTCTAAATTCTTCGACATTGAGCAAGGGGTCCCACAAGGTTGCACGCTGTCCCCAACATTGTTCCAGGTGTTCATCAACGATCTGTTGGAAGTCGTAGAGGCAGTCCGGAAGGGAGTAAAAGTAGGGGACACGGAAACTTCGGTGTCAGGAATGCTGTTTGCGGATGACTTTGTTGGTATGTCGGACACCCCTGAGGGACTGCAACTGCAAATTGACGCGGCGAAGAAGTTTACTGATAAGTGGAGATTGTCTGCCAACGTTAAGAAGAGTGCCGTCATGGTATGCAACGAGGGCAGGGAGGAACCAGTAGAACATAGATGGAAGTGGGGGATCGAGGAGATTGCAGTAGTGGACCAGTACACATACCTCGGAGTAGAGATCGCAAAAGATTGCTCGTGGAATGCACACATGTCCAAGGTAGCGGAAAAGGGCAAAGCACGAGCAGGGAAGCTTCACCCAATACTCGCAAACCGGCACCTTGATACACGCATCAAATTGACGGTTTTGAAGAGCGTAATCGTACCGCCGCTGGAGTACGCCGGAGAAGTATGGGAAGGAAATAAGAAGGTAGTGAAAGAACTCGAGGCGGCGCAGATGAAAGCAGCGAAAATCATCCTAGGATGCTCCAAGCGCACAAGTAATGCAGCAGTCAAGGCAGAATTGGGGATCCAATCCCTACGGTCGGGAAGAGACGTAAGGAAGCTGACATGGCAGTACCGCATGTGCGGGATGGGAGAGGAGAGGTTGCCGAGAATAGTATGGGAGGCGAAGTGGGCAAACAAAAAGAGGGGTAGACAACCCACGGAATGGGTCAAGGTTGTAGAGGACGTATGGAAGGGATTGGACATCGACGAAGATGAAACGCTGGAAACGGAGGGTCTACAGGGGTTCAAGAAGAAGATATCTGTTGCTTGTGCCGACAGAGAAGAACAGAATCTAAGGAAAGAATCCAAGGATAAGGAGGGTCTAGAAGTGTACGGAATGTTGAAAGAAGGAATAGGGTTCAAGGATTACCTACATGGACCAATGGATGCAGGGACAAAGCTTAAGGTCAAATTCAGGACCGGGGACATAGGCCTTCGCGAACGTCGACAAAGACATAGGACGGTAGACGACGAAGACGACAAGTTCAAATGTGATTGCGGCTTCGAATGCGAAGACAGTGTTCATGTAGTCGCGGAATGTCCGTGGTACGAAAAGGAGAGGGAAGTGTACATGACTGAGCTGGGAAGAATACAAGGGACGTACAGGGAGATGTTTGAGGCATGGAATAGAGAGGAGAGGACGGTAGCGGTACTGGGGAGTAGGAAGTGGTTTGAAAAGGCGGGAAGTGACATCGGTAGGATAGACAGACTAGGGAAGACATTTTTGAGCCACCTTTGGCAAAGTAGGAAGGAACGATTGGCCATCGGTGATCGGTCCTGTGGGAACATGCTCCGTCCTCT